TCATCGAAAAAACCTAAGAGTATGAATCCTTGCAGTCACGAAAGCTTCAAATCTAAAATCCAAATATACAGCAGGCGTCGGGGTCGGGATCGAAGCGCCGACCTCCTGGACACCGCTCGTATGCACAGTGGATTATCTCTCACATGAAGTCAAACACATGAATGGCACTGGCCATTCGAGGAGTATAGACACTCCTGAAAAGCATATTGTTGAGACTCATTAAAGCATTCATGGTTAAATAACCGACATTTGAATTATTTTATATACAAGCTATGCACACATAGTATTTTTCTATTCTCCCTAATAATGATAACTTTCATCCTTAGTTGTCAAAATATGGCACAGTAATGGATAATTTCCGAAAGAGCTTTTTAAGCCACACGCTGCGAATTATAGTAATTATTGTTCAATTTCTGATGCGGCCGTTTGGGTTCAGACTCGCGACCAGCCTGGTGTGCATGCAGTCTCACTGCAGTTCACAATTATGAGTTCAGATGAAGTCAGTGAGAGAACGTTATGAAATGTGAATGTACTCAGCTGCAACATCATAATTCTGGTTTTCATAAAAGTAGCATGAAAATGATTGATGCTAATACATTTAATTAAAACTCTACGCATTGAGTACCATTCACGTACAGCTGAAAACGTGTCAATTAAACATATACAATTTGATTATCAGCAATGATCAATCCACGGCTGAACGAAAGCCTCTCCCATTCGCTGCCACCTGCACAATCTTGCGACGCAGCGTTCCATCCAGCACCTGCGCACAAACTGATTTCATTGCTCCATCTCCTCAATGGAAGTCATTTGGGAAGCGTTCTATTCCCTGATATATAATATGGCATATGTTTTTTGTTAAAAGCTGGCATGGTAAAGAACAAGCAGATATTGGTGGTGTAGTGGTTCGTGCACTGTGCTATGAACATGCTATGTATAACTTTTTTTCCCACCGTATGTAGCCATCGGTGCTAATCGGAGGTGCAAGGGAAGGACAACAAACTAAGCACAAACCAATGCTGTTCTAAAGAAAAGAGTTTGAATCTAGATTTAAAAGTGCATAAAACCTGAACTGAGTTGTTTCCCCAGTCATGACTGCCATCAGTGGCAAGTGACATCTGAGCGGGTCTAATGATACCGCCCTCTCCCAACCCCCCACCACTGGTTCAAAGTGCAGTGGTGGATGGAACAGTGTTGCAGTGGCTATGCACCGCATAATGAACCCTGCGACCAGAGTTCAATTTCCAGTCATAAATAATATAATTATAAATCAGTAATATTTTTAAAACTTTTTTTTAAAACACGCTTTAATGAAATGTACCCTACTCGTAATGGCAGAACTCCACGACTCCAGGAAGTGGCCACCAAGCTTGCCATAACGTGGGCAATTAGACCCAAGCCGAAACATAACATATAAAAAATAATGTTTAAAAATATTTATTTTCTTATTTTTATGATAAAATATGGTATTGTCATCAGTATGACATAAGTATACCAAGCCTGCAGTCGATATCACATTGAGAAGTGGGTTAAATTGAGTTACAAGATTTGAGGATACAACAACAACAGAGTGAGTGAATAAAAAGCGTGTAATAATAAACATCTTTGGGCACCCCGTCTCTTTCCCTTCGCTAACTCACATGGTGAAGTATGATCACTCAACCCTCATTATAGACGTAATGTGGGGAGGCCTTCATCCAGCAGTCGATTGACACAGGGCTGTAGATTTATTGTATGGTAACATCGTTGCTCCAGGCAAGATTGCTTCTGCAACATGCACTGGAAAATCATTGGCTTCAATAGGCTTACAATTTTTAATTAAGATGGACCAAAAAATGATTAATTATACTAAATTTCATCGAATAAAATGGCCTTGTCATTATATATATGAAAAAATTCAATTCAGTCTATCAGGAATTATTGCAGCCAGTTAAAGAATGTTGATGTATGACTTTGCGTTGGTGCATTAGTTATAATTTTTAATTTAATTAAATAGCTTTAACACTTACTTACAATTTTTTGAAAGTTGTAAATTAATCTTGATTGGTTCGCTAAAAATAAGTTTAATTTTATATGGTAATCAATTATTCTTTGATTCTTTCGATAAACTCACGTTAAAAAATAAAGTGAATAAAAAATAATAAAATAAACACTACTAATGTAGACTGTAGCCTGGTTATAAATCGGAGTGCGTGTACTGGCAGTCTATAATGTCGAATATAGCCTGGTTATTAAGTTTGGTGAGTGTACTGGCAGTCTATAATGTAGACTGTAGCAATGGTTATTAAGCTGGGTGAGTATACTGACAGTCTAAAATGTAGACTGTAGCGTGGTTCTTTAACTCGGTGAGTGTACTGGCAGTCTAGAATGTAGACTGTAACCTGGTTCTAAACTTCGGTGAGTGCACTGGCAGTCTATAATGTAGACTGTAGCCTGGTTTTTAAGCTGGTGAGCATATTGGTAGTCTATGATGTCGACTGTAGGAATGGTTATTAAACTGAGTGAGCGTACTGACACTATAATGTAGACTGTAGCCTGGTTCTTAACCCGAATAAAATTAAAATAATAGGCTAAAGTCTACATTATAGACTATCAGTACGCTCACCGAGGTTAAGAACCAGGCTACAGTCTACATTATAGACTGCCAGTCCACTCACTCCGATTAAGAACCAGGCTACAGTCTACATTAGTTTTTTTATTTCATGTTTATTATTTTGATTCACTTTATTTTTATTTGTTTCTATCTACGTGACTTTACCGAAAGAACCAAAGAACATTAATTCCTGCAGTCACGAAAGTTTTAAGTCAAAATGTTATCAATTACTCTGGGCGTCAAATGTGTAATTTGACACTTTTAAATTCATTCGCAGTCTTAGGCCGCATCCGGTCATCAGAAAGAAAACAGCTACTTTCCTGATTGGTGAAGCCACAAAGAATAGATACGTCACTTAAAAGACTCAGTTATTACAGAATTCACACTTTATTTTTTACGAATAATTCCCCCTTTTACCTAACAAAATCCTCACTTAACAATCTCTAGACTTATTTTTCAAAAGGATCCTGCATTTGGATATTTGAGGAATCCCATGAACGAGTGTCTGGCTTCGCGTGGGAGAAAAACTTGAGTGACGGGAGAAATCCACTCATAATTCGTACAAGCAGTATGCTACACACTAACATTTTTTATGGGTAAAAGTTAAGCACCCAAAGGCAGTTGGGTACTTTCGAAGCTCAATTTGTGTTTGAATACTTATAAAACTCCTTGATATTCTACACTCGACCTTTAAAACGTTTCATATTGTGTGGTCACCGCGAACTGCACAAACCCTGCACAATATTATACTGCCACCAAGTGTATCATTGGGTTAACTGCTATTGGCAGAGCAAGAAATCTGTAGGTGAACTATAAGATTTTACTGCCTATGCATTTGTGTACATCGTTTTGCCCCTGAGAGCTTATACCAGTGTTTGTCCAATGGGTAAACTCACCCTTATAATAGGAATGTATAAATAGGGGGATAAGCTTTGCCCCACACTTTTTTTCGTGGAAAACTATTTTGGACGACAAAAACCTATAAACGTAACTATTTTTTTTTATTTTACCAGGTAAGGCGCACCGAGCTACGTAGCTCTTTTCAGAAGCTACCTGACCACGAATGATAGCTCAACGAAGTGGCTTATCTTGTGGACATTTATAGCAACCAAATTCTCTCAACCTCAGGTTTCTAAATGTGGAGGAAAAAACCGGAGGAGCTGGGTAAAAACTCCACACGACCACAGGGAGACATGCAAACTCCAATTTAGAAGCGTCAGCGTCGGGATTAAATCCACGACCTCCTGTATAACATCTCGCCACTGTTTGCCCTGACCTCATAAACTAGATATTCTTCAACCATATAAAATCCTATGTATAAATTTGCTGTGCTTAAACAATATATCTTAATTTTGGAGCTTTCGTGACTGCAGGAATTATTCTTTGGTTCTTTCGGTATAAGTGACTTTACCGAAATAACCAAAGAATTAAACTATATTTTTCACTTGATATTTTACCCGCCCCCGCCCCCTAGTGGCGTGGTTACACCTGTGTGGTCATGTAAGAGATGTCTCGTGTACTTAACCTATTGTATCTCTACTTCTCTATCTCCGTGTATACCCGTGTCCTGTCCTCAACTCCTTGTGATTATTCCATCTTGTTTGCGACTACTCTCCTGATGTCCTGGTGCTGCGATTCCAGAGAGCACGTGTGCAGGATGAGATTCAGCACTTGGGTTCAGCTTCTTTGCGTAAGCTCATCCTTTCTCACACCAGGCACTGGTGCAAGGAATGAAATGCCCCCCCCCCCCTTCACTCTTTGTAGACCAGGGTCTAGGCTCCATTGCAGTTGAACTGCCTGTGTACTCAATAGCTATTCCACCACTTTACCTGGTACAGTATTCAAAATTTCCTGCCACATCTGCCTCTATCTCAGCTGGAGAGCTCCCTCTGTCAATGTAAACAATTAAAGCGCATTAAGAAAAACATGTCCAAGTGGCATTCAGTGGTGTTTCTCTATCTCAGCTGGAGAGCTCCCTCTATCAATGAAAACGATTAAAGCGCATTAAGAAAAACATGTCCAGTGGCATTCAGTGGTGTTTCTGACCAAGTGTGAACGAAATGTGCCCCACTGACAACAGTGTAACATTTTTTTTTGTTCCTGGGTAGGAAGTGTTATTTCCTAATTGCTTATGCCTCAAAAGTACAGAACATGGCTATTTGTGACCAGGACAGTGATATTTTGAAATTTACATATTTTCCAGAACATTCCAGATAGATTCAGTGCTGAGTAAACTTGGAGTGACTTGCAGAACATTCTAGAACTTTCCAGTAATATAAAGTCGTATAAATACAGGGGCCTTAAGCCCACCAGTTCAGTCTAGTTCCAGCTGCCAAAGTGGATACATATCTGCATTTTTCTGAGATGGCATAAAGAGGAATATCCATTTTCAATACTTTTTAGGCATAAGCAATTACGAAATAACACTTACTACCCAGGAATAAAAATTGTGTTACATAGTGCAATCGGATATTTCTGAAAATGACAATTCTTTAGAGCCTTTTCTTTAAACAATGTGTACATAACAGGATGTGCAATGCACGTAACAAAATGCACAGCATTGTTGAAGCAATACACATTTATTGACGTTAGGAAACATACAACAGAGTCTATATTCTTTTATTCTTTCGGTAAAGTCACATAGATAGAAAATAAAAAAAGTAATAAAAACCTATTTTTTTCTGTATCCATTTTATTATTTTCTATCTATGTGACTTTACCGAAAGAACCAAAGAATATGAATTCCTACAGTCACGAAAGTTTTAAGTCAAAATTTCATAGGAGTCTATTTATAGCCACAATGTCAAGTCATTGCGTGGTACATAGTGCAGAATATAAGCATGCCGTTCTTTAAAATAATGTAAATACGAACATTACACTGCATGTAACCAACCAGATTCACACAAAACAATGTTTGGTTCTTCTGTTTTGCTATCATACGAAAAAAAATCACAATTCTCTCTGTACATGGGGGTATCACAAGTTGCATGTGTGTGTGTGTGTATATAGGTTTATGTATAGGTGTTCATATGCGCATTTGTATCGATATGCTGTTATAAACAAATATCCCTTCATAGCCTCCATATACTGTCCGCTTAGGTGCTGTAAGCACACACCTATTAAGCCCGGCGAGGAACACGAGGTGGTGTGGCCAGCACCACACCTTGCTGCGTTTATGTCCCCAGCGTTGATGCTCGCACACCACAGCAGGTACTCAATTAAGGCCGAGATGACCTAGTACAGGGGTCGGCAACCAAAATAACAAGAAGAGCCATTTCTTTCCAATTCGGTACAAAATTCTGTATTTCAAGAGCCGCAATGCATCTGAGTACATACTGTACATACGTACATATCGTCAAGAAGCAGCCCGTAAAGAGCCGCATGCGGCTCCGGAGCCGTAGGTTGCCGACCCCTGACCTAGTACAAGCTTGCTAACAGCACTTTCCCCAAACAGTACGTGTAGGTTACACAGGGTCTCCTTTGTATTGGCGCATTCGTATGCATTTGTGTGGAAACGAGTCTGTGCATGTGTGCATGTGTGCCTGTGATGTGGGAGGTAGAGGGCCCGTGCCAGGCAGCTATTGGCGCCTATGTGCGATCGCAATGTACGATTCGTGAAAAAATCCCCGTGGGTTCCTTCCCGTCATCCAGCGCCGCCAGGAAGCCCTCCTCCCCGCGACGCTTCGACAGAGCCGCCAACGACTTGAACGTACGCGGCTCCGTGATCGCCAGGTCAGCGAGCATCTTGCGGTTCAGCATCACCTGTGTCTGCCCACGGAACATGAATGCATTAGTCCCAGTGCCAGATTTATGACCGAGTGGAGCACAGATGGGAGTACGTCGTTAATTAAGGGGTCCTTGTGCTGTGCTGTGCTATGATGTTACTCACTCATCTACTGCTTACCTTCAGAAGGTTGGTTTTAAAATGGCTGTATTTCAGCCCGTGCTCCAAGATGCCAGCAGTGGCTCGTGTGATCCACAACTGAGAAAAACGACAACATATTACTCACGACAACAATATGGGACACACCAGCCTTTTATTCTACGGTTGAGACATTCATATTGAAGCAATGTTTTGTAGTTACATAGACTTATGTAGATCCACATCCCATTAGAGGTACAGATATATACAAAGTTACATTTACAATATAACCATGTTCCCCCCCGTGCTAGCCCCCTCCCGTCCCTGCACGCCACAAACCCTCGCCCCTCTCCCCTGTGAACTCCTACAGGCAAACTCCTTTCCTCTCCCTCCTGTGCTTATATAAAGCCACAACAGCAGATCATTTTTTCACACCTGAAGACGGACGCTTGTGTTGCGACCGAAACGTCGTGTTTTATTTAATTTTTTCTACCTACGCAACTTTACTGAAAGAACCAGCGAGTATTAAAATGTCTTGTAAAGGGGAGCAAAAGAGTAAGAGGCATGTGATTTGAGATTAACATTTTTACTCATGGGTGCTTGCGAACAGCATTTGCCCTAACAGTCTGTTAAGGCTACATAGGGGATCTTTGTATTTTATGCTTTCAAATCCATACAAGTATTCAAATAAGTTAACGGATTACTCATTGAATTTGTTAAATTATGAACAAGGTTGACATCTACTACGTATATTATTCAACATTATGACTTTCCCAATTATACTGCAAATATGTTTAAAGACTATGTCTAAATGCAAAATATCGACATGGCATTGGATGATGTCATATATCCTTTACATAAATCACTGCATTCTCATCTTAAACGTTTATTGGAAATGTAAGTCAAAGCAATGTATATCCTTGCTGAAACGAGCATGAGGAGCAGTCCTCAATTCCGTTCGTGACTCTAAGCCGATTGTGTACATTCCACATTCCAAGGCGGTGCTCAGTCCTTTGGAAGCAAACCCGCAATGTGGCAGTACATGACAAACTACTGTCCGTACAATGAGCATCACGCACGATGAGAGAACAAGCGAATCGCTAGATCGCGGGCTATGAGAGTCGCGTGCCGTTTGATGCGTAGCAGTTAATTATTCAGTGGCTTTGCGAGCCCAGTGACTTGTATGTTGAACTAATTTCGTAGCCAACCAACCCTGTTAATCGGAGGTAGGGGAAGACAACAGACAGACTTACGGTGCGCATGTTTCGCCTTCGCAGATGACGGGCCTTGGTGGCATAGACGAAAGAGCGCCGGACCGCGCGCACGGCCAGGCCATAGCATCGGTTCTTGCGTCCTCGGAAATGCTGTCCAGATGCACAATGATACAAAGACAAAGATCCCCCGTATAGCCTTAACAGACTGTAGGGGCAAGTGTTGTTAGCGAGCACCTATGAAGGCCGGAACGGTACACGAGGGGGTGGGTGGCCAGCACCACGCCCGACCGCCTTTGTCTCCCTAGTGGCGATGTTTACACACCGCACCAGGTACTCATTTGAGGCTGAGTCGACCTAGGGGAGGCCCGGGACCGGTTCAGATAATCGTCACTGATGTTGGCAGTGAGCGGGAATCGAACTCGTGTCACCGGGTTCATAGCGCAGCGCGCTAACCACTACACCACCGCTCCCCACAATTATACACACACACACACTCGACAACGTGGAATCCATGAAACCTGGACAGCAAGACATGCACACATTCACTGGCTTTCCAATTGGAAGTCACAGACACATTACTCTACATACAGATGGAAACGGTATTTCTTCATCTCATTTCCTAAATATATTTATTTCAAGTGAATAAGATGTAACGTTTATGATCCCGGCTGAATATATTTTTTTCTTCCAATGATGCATTTTAATCCCTCTATTTGAATTTCCCCAACCAAATGAGGGCGACACTGACCCAACCGATTGTTCGATGTAAATACGTGTCAGCCTGTTTGAGAATGACAGTCACTGCAGTTTTAATACATAGGCCCACTAAACACCAGATGCAATCACTCTCGGCGAATAGGCAAATCGCCAGGCATAGAATCGCATTTGTAACACGCAAAGATGCGTCTCAAATAGAAAATAAAAAAACCCAATCAGGAATCTCAGGAAGTGACTGAGCCACAGGCACCACTGGCAACAGTAGGCCGCATAGTGCTAATGAGTCAATAATAATGATATCGTAAGATCGGAAGTTCTCCAGTATTGTTTCAAGCAATCCTGACCGCTGTCAAAACTGTCGAAACTGCTCAAGAATACGCTCGCGTTCAATCCTACTGATATGATGCACTCCGAAAAGGCCGTGCGGCCGATTGCTTAATCACTACAATACTCTGTGTGGCGAGACAGACGTAAAAAAGAGAGTCCGTCAATGATATTCTCCACACCTGCGAATACTTGAAGAGCTCTTTCGCCCGCCAGTAATGGTTATCACTCTTCACCCTGACCAAGCGACTTAAGGACAGGAAGACCATTGCGAAGGCGACTCTTGATGGACACCCCCCCTCTCCAAATAAACCCTTTTTGCCAATTAATTAGAGCCCTCCCCACCGCGATGTCAATGAGAACCCCTCAATTGAGCGCTCCACGTGCGTTCTGCCCTCCACGACAATGACACATGATGTGGGTCCCCACTTCCTCCTTCAATACTCGGCAGCGCAAGTATTTCCGGCGAGGGAAATGATTCCGGGCCGAATAAAAGTTCCGGGGCTAAGAGAGAGGGGGGGTTGGTTACACCTCCCGGATTGTCCTGGAATCTTTACCGATCTCGATTGAAAGCAATCCGCGAGGTTTAAATGCTGGGACAGGATGGTTTACTGATGTAAATTGTGAATGAAATTAAAATCCCTTAACAGTTTCCCGCCATGAATTAAGCTGTCCACCCAAAAAATTGGGCACACCATCGTTTAATCGATTGGCATGTCGCCTTTGTTGATTTCGAAAAGTGTATTGGTTTAGCCATGTTTGTTGTAGTACAGAGTTAGACTGATGGCCTTAATCTAAGTTGTCTTGTGGTTGTTGTTTGACTTGCATCCCACTGGGATTTGTGCACACAGTGTTGGTGTACGGTGCTTTTTCTGCAATATTTTGCTGTCTTTTCTTGGATTTTCTGTTTGCATATAGTCACATTAAGATGTTTTCTTGTTCATGTTTTTGTTTGTTGCGGTTGCACCCGATTCAAGAGCCGAATGGCTCACAGGACTATACCTAATAAATGAACTTGAACTTGTTGGAGTAAAGTGTGGGTACTCGATGATGTCTCTGGCTCTCTCTAGTGGAGGCCCATCCGCTAGCAGTGGTGTGCTGAAGCAATCGCAGGGATTGTCCTTTTACATTTGATTGATGGGTTTTTTTCACTCCACATGTGTCAATCAAGTTGGCATCTATGCACAATTGAGCACGTCGGGCTCCAAGTTAAATTAAGTCTCTTTAAAATGTATTAAATGTATTTGCACGCAGCGTTGATATACGGTGCTTTTTTTCTGGAATATTTTGCTGGTTTTCTTCTGGATGTTTCTGTTGCGCGTCGTCACTATAAGATGTTGCTTGTTCATGTTTTAGTTTGTTGCGGTTGCATGGCTCACAGGGCTAAACCTAATTAATTAAAATGAAAAACTGAAAAATGTAAAATGTTGCACCTCCACGTGCACGCCACGTGTGCGCCCCCTGCCGACGTGTCCCACCACCTCCCAGCGCCACAATGTTGCTGAAACAACAAAGGTTCCGGCCTGAATAAAGGTTCCGTTCCTTATATGCACTTTTTAAATTTAAATTACTATACAATTAAAAACAACGATTACCCCGAGAGATATTATTGGGTACACTCTAGAGTCAATTTAACTTTGTCGCCGCTTGTTTAGTTCTCAAACGCATTTTAGAACGTTAACATTGTCGGAATGCGCGTTCCGTGTTGCGTTCCGGGTGAAACACGTGGGCCTCAACCCTGCAACGTCCGCATGGTCACGGCGAGAGGAGCGCTACGCGAGTTTACTTTCTAACGTTTCTAACGCAACATTCTCAACGTCGCACACACAGCAACAACAACAACAACCCCCCACACACACACACACGGCTATGGGGAAGAAGAAGCAGGGTCCAAACTTGGGCCGATCTATAATCAAAGACAGGAACAATGCGAGCCGAACGCAGCGCAAGAACGACTCGTGGGTGAGTGCTTTGAGAATGGATGCTGCTGTCGGTAGCCACGTTAATTCCCTCACCCTTAAACTTGTATTTAAGGGCTTGTCTCTTGGGATTTTTCCTCACTTGATACGGTAAATTTAGCTGTGACGGTCCCGCCTGATGACGGAGACTTGTGTTGCCTTCGAAACGTCGTGATTTATTATTTTATTTCGATTATTTTATTTTTTCTATTTTTATTTTTTACCTACGTGACTTTACCGAAACAACCTAAGAGCATGAATCCTTGCGGTCACGAAAGCTTCAAATCTAGAACGTTAATTCCACTTGGCTCTACTCCTGAACACAGTTTTTTGCTCGCTTCACGCTCTGCCCAGTGTTGTGTTTCGAAAGGCACAATACTAATTATAATTATACTACTAACACCATTAGCTTGTGCATCACCGTGCGTGTGTCAGACCACGGGTTTAGGGCCCCTTGAACGTGGTGGTTGTGCCACCAACACCAAGTGATGATTATCTGAACCGGTCATGGGCCTCCCCTAGGTCGACTCAGCCTCAAATGAGTGTGTAAACATCGCCACTGGGGAGACAAAGGCGGCCGGGCGTGGTGCTGGCCACCCACCCCCACCCCCTCGTGTACCGTTCCGGCCTTAATAGGTGCTCGCTAACAGCACTTGCCCCTACAGTCTGTTAAGGCTACACGGGGTGGAGGGGTCCTAGGCTTTGCATGATCTGTTTTACACGTCTCTATAATATATAACACAATTATCACGAGCCTGTTGAGAATATTAATAATGCATTAGCGGACGATGTCTACTTCACGTATTCGTGTCTCTATAACTACAAGTATTAATATACGCAGGCCATCGGCCGTACGACCCTCTGGGAGTAATGCTTTCTCAAGAACGACGCTCATGATTGTTTTGAGTTCTACATTACTTTTTTGCTGTATAATTTTGAGTCTAACTCGGATCCCATGTCGTCCATGCTTTGCAAGATTGACAGTTCACTAGAACTCATCCAAGCAAAGCCTGACTGCCGATTGTGGCACTCTCCATCGAAACCGACCCAGAGTCTTGAAACCAGTGCGGTTGACACTATGCAGTCCTGTCATAAGTCCGTGTTGCTGATGGGCTGTGTAAAATATATACTCTTATGTGGAGAAGGCGTCATTATTATCACCATCACCACGATACATGGGCAGATAGCCCATAGGTGTCCACTGTACATTTCGTCATTTGTTTCCACTTTCCTCTGCCTTGTGCCACATGTGCTCAAGTAGGGCCACATCTTTCTGGCACCGATCTCTACTCTGATGTCGTCGTAAAGCCATTCTCTGTTCGGTCTTCCCCTCTTTCTGGCTCCTTCATCGGAGCCACGTTGTCTGCTAATTTACGTCGCTGCTTATATTCTCCACAACGCAGCTCGTGATGATGTAATGCCATCGAGGTGTCTGTCTGCATGGCCAGCACACGGCCACGGTGTTGTCATTTATTCCCCTCCTCCCTGCCGTCTCATCATAACAGCTGCACACGAGCGAGCTGAACGACGGCTATGACTGGGGCCGCCTGAACCTGCAGTCGGTGACCGAGCAGAGCGCGCTCGATGAGTTCCTCAGCACCGCCGAGCTCGCCGGCACGGAGTTCACGGCAGGTAAGGCTCCTCCGAGAAAACCAAACACACGTCTCGCATCGTACACTACGCCCGTGACCAAATCACTTTAGCGCAGGGTTGAGCCTGATCGGTGCTTGGGCGAGTGGCCACCGCACGTGCGTGGTTTGTCACAGGTGGCTGCTAGAATGGCGCCGTCACCGTTCTAGAATCTCACCTCGGATCCGGAGGAACTCTGCTGGCGAACAGAGTGGAACCAACGTGAACGTCCTTCGGAACAAACGCCTCATTCGAGACCCAAATATCACACCTTTCTGGCTTTGACATTCCCCGAAAACACTTGTAACAGGCTGCTGCGCCAGAGGTCGCAAACGGATTTTGATTCCTTACCCGTACCCGGCCGCACCAGGGTCGCAAACGGGTACCCTACCCGATACCCGGCCGGGTATCGGGTAGGGTACCCGTTTGCGACCTCTGGGATGAAGCCATGTTGCAGGCGCGGGTGGGTTGATTCTAGGAACTTGAATTGTGAGAAGAGACAAGACGTTGGGAAATGAGTGACAAACGGTTACTCACTCACCAGTGACTCACGGCCTACCCATACCCAGCCGCACCAGGGTCGCAAACGGGTACCCGTACCCGGCCGGGTACGGGTAGCTGGGTATCGGGTAGGGTACGGGTATTGTGTACCCGGTTGCGACCTCTGTGCTGCGCCCATCTCCTTCATGAATGGAAAATTAAAGACAAGCCACGGAAAGTGCGACTGTCGCCACGCAACCAAAACTCTGGGCCATGTAGCCAACCACTGGAGTCAACCACTGGAGTCAACCACTGGAGTCAACCACTGGAGTCAACCACTGGAGTCTGCGCTCCTTCAAAGGAGGAGGAATAGCAAAAAGACGCGAACTCTCTCCTGAAGCCCTATCGTTGCTAGCAGACCTCGACATTGGAATTTAGCTCCTGAACACATTGCCCATCATACACAAGGATAGAAATAAAAGAGGAGGCTACGGAGGCTACGTGGTAGGGTAGTAGTAGGCAGTGCGGTGAAAGCCGTAGAATTCTTGAGTTGTGGTTCTGTGCTCCCATGTCCGTGGCTCTCCCTGGACTGACCAGCATGGTGTAGTATGGTTTAACAACCTCCCCGTGACCACCACATCATGGGGATGCCTTCATGGATAATTGGGTTGACAAAGGGTTGTAAATTATTATTATGAATTCAAAACTCTCCAGTGTGCAACTGTCATAACCCAGAACAGACTGGAATGTCTCAACAGTTAACAAATACGAAGGGGGCATCACAGCGAAACACCACTCTGCTACTCCTGACACAATTATCTGGCTCATCTACCTCAATGTAAAATTATAGGTGTTGCTCTGCATCAACATCAGCCACCCGAAGAAGATGATTATAATAGACACTAACTCATCAGAATATTGAAGCCTTCTTTCTGCGCTGGCACAAACCATTTCTGAATGAAAAGGGGGTACATGTATTGCTTTTGCTGCGCACTGAACTAGCTAGTGTATAACACGTTGTTTTAATGTTATTTTTTAAATTCAGAGAAGCTGAACATCAAGGTGGTGTCTGAAGTCGCACGGACGGGCGTGCTTTCGGACGAGGAGAGTCAGAAGATGAAGCTGCTTCATGAAAGCAACAAGCACTTCCTGAACATCCCACGACGGTAGGGAGACACTCTTGCCAGGTTAATGTGAGCACGTTGACGTGTCATTATGGTCAGTGTGATTGCAGCCATCATCGCTTCCTTCCGAGTGGTTGTAAAGTTGACGACTGACCTTCAAGGTTTGCTCGTATAGTATCTCACCATTGGCTTTGGATCTTCTCCTGGGCTGCTGACATCTGAATGTTGCTACAATGGCTGTTGTTAGTGTCGGGGTTAATGTTAGCATTTCCATTATGTTTATGGTGAAGGATTACACTTTGGTACGTGTTATCTTGACGTGAAAAGCTGAAGGTTAACGTGAGTATAGCGCCCATTGGTGTTAATGTTAGTGGAGAGGTCACTTTCAACTATTGCTTGATTTGTCAACTGACCCAGGTTGAAACTAATGGTTTCAGCAGTGCCATCCCATTGCTCTGACAGTGTTAGCCCCATCAGCCACATGTCCACATATGCTCGGTTTATTAGAAATGGGAAAGCACTCCGACACTATTTATACGGATCCAGGGTCTCGCTCTCCATGCTGCGGGGCGGCCGCTCGCTTACGTGGCGTTGAGTTGACCGCTTGATTCTAGGAGGTCAGGAAGAAACAGCCCTTTGCTATGTTGCTGGTTTCCTGCTTTAAGTTTTACCCACCCAGCAACATAGCAAAGGGCTGTTTCTTCCTGACCTACTTTTCTGCTTCTACTATCTACATAACAAAGGCTCAGTTCCATTAGCAGCAGCCGCACCTTAACAACTCTGGCACCTCCCAGTTCAACCAGTCTACACAACAAAGGCTCATTCCTAGCAGCAGCCTCAGCCGCACCAACCTCACAATAATAATACAAAACTCCGATCCAGGGGCCTACCTTGGCTCCTCCCCCCTCAACCAGTATATATACAAGGTCGGGTGTCCTGGAATTTCTCTTTACTTGATACAGCAATCGTGCTGTGACGGTTCCACCTGAAGACGAAAGCTTGTGTTGCCTCCGAAACGTCGTGATTTTTATTTTACTTATATTAATTTAAATTTTATTTTTTACCTACGTGACTTTACCGAAAAAACCTAAGAGTATTGACCGCTTGACCCTGTGTGTGCGTGCGTGTGGCCAGACCCCGCTGGGACGCGTCCACCACCACTGAGGCGTTGCAACTGAACGAGCGGGAGGACTTCCTGGCGTGGCGCCGCCAGCTCGCCATGTGAGTGCCGAAGCCTTTTCTCCTCCACAAATGCATTTGGAAGCTTTAATTGTGTTGCCGTGTTTTTGAACGGATGTGTTTGCTCAAGGTGCCCTGGGTAGTCGGAGTGTGAGTGTAAGTGTGAGATGAGGATGCGGGATGGTTCATGGGTTAGGGTACCTGGCTCGCCATCGGAAGGATTCGAGTTTAAATCATGATCTGGGTGTAAGCATGTGTGAGTGTAAGGTTTGACATGCATCAGAATAACAAATTTGTCTCGCAATCAGAAAGTTAAATTTTCAAATCTTGGTTGGAGATTTTAGTGAGTTAAGTGATTTCCTGCTTAAATGAGCATTGATGCATTTCCCATTTCCTTTTTATACCACTGAGCCTGTCAGGGAAATTTCAGATTCGGGGGGAAAGTAGTAAGTCCATCCATAGCACAATCACGGTTGACTATGAGTGTGTGCGTGAGCATTATTATTATTAGTCTGTGATAGTGTCACTGTTAGTCTGAAAAAGCATGTGTGTTTGTCACTGTTTGTGGATATGAGAAATTGTCTGAATATTTGTCTGAATATTTGGTCAACAGTTGCAGTAGTTTAGCACATGAACCCTGGGAGCTAAGTTTGCTTCTTGTTGGCAGCTATCATCGGTGGCGAGTGATCTGTCAACCAGTCCTGGGCCTTCTTTCACAAACTCAGACTGCCCAGAATGGTGACGAATTATCAAACATGACCGACGTGGCGCAGGGAAGCAGGCCTTCATCCATTCGGTGGATTGATAATTGGGCTGTACCTTATTAATGATTATATAGGACCATCACGAATGTACTCGTGAATGTATGTTTGATGCACCAGTGTTGAAGATGTATGAGGGATTCTCCCTGTGTAAGAGTGACGATGGTGTGTGTACACTTCTTCCAGGCTCCAGGAGAAAGAGGAACTCATTCTCACTCCATTTGAGCGGAACCTTGACTTCTGGAGGCAGCTGTGGAGAGTCATCGAACGGAGGTGACCGTCTCCTCTTGACGAGTGACTGACCACTTGTTAAAACTTTCTTCATTGAAGTATTCCTCGTGTGCACCAGGCCTGTGACCAAACCCCTCTAAATGGGCCGGGGAAGCTAAGCATTGTTGAGCCTGGATAGTGCTGTGATGCAGTGTTTGAATGTCAATGGTAGTAGAGTACGTTTAGGAGGCAACACAAGATGGCTTGTGTTGCCTCCGAAACGTCGTGATTTAATTTATTTGTTTTCTTTTAACCTACGTGACTTTACCGAAAAAACCAAAGAGTTTAAAGTATAGTGTTCCTAAATAATAATACGAAATTGAATATGAATGTTTAACACGCAGGCTTTTGCGACGAATATCATAATACAGGTTTTTTTTGGGTTAGATCGCGTAAATATATAAAGGTGGCAGGTTTAACGACACATATATGTACGCGATCTAACCCAAAAAAAAAACGCATTCTGGATGAATTATTTTTAACGTGAGATGTGAATGAATTCACTTTCTTGTTTAAATCTCTTACCACGTTGTCTTTTTTTTTCTCATATTTTGCTGTCACCCTCCCTCCGTTCCCTCTCCATCTGTTACTCCACGTCACCTTCCCCCTTCAACTCCATCCCTCGCAGTGACGTTGTTGTTCAGATTGTGGATGCAAGAAATCCACTCCTGTTCAGGTGTGAAGATCTGGTACGTTTTGCCCAAGCTGTTGCTGTGATTGCTTCAAAGTGCAGGTTCTGTGTGCCTCAATTCACTGAAGAGGTTTTTGGTCAGGAACGACTACACTGTTGCGTGAAATACCGCCACTTTGAATAGTACTGCTGCAGACAATTGATGGTCCTAACTCTATCCCGTAATCCTAACTCTGTATCTCCTTTTACATGATTATCATCATGTACCCATGAACATTCCTGTTGCCAAAGCCAATGCGGATATGGCAGTTGCGGTACTCTTTAGAGCATGAGTATTTTTAACTGCAGTGAACGTTTGTAACACATCAAAAACACTACCTTTAAAAGGACACATAAGCACGTGTGCTATGCACTATGAAGAGGGGTAATTTCCCAAATAGTCGCCTGTTATATACTCTTGAAGGCAGTGTTAGTGATGAATACAAGTGCTTGAGTTTTTATACATCAACATCCGTGTCCTTGCCATTGGCTCCACTGATGCTTGACGGACATTTTCACTTTGACTTGGATGACGCCGGGCAGGAGCGGTACGTCAAGGAGGTATCTCCGCACAAGGACAACCTCATCCTGGTGAACAAGGCCGACCTGCTCTCCGAGGGCCAGCGCCAGGTGTGGGCCGACTTCTTCGAGGCGCAGGACGTGCGCGTCGTCTTCTGGTCTGCGCTGCACGAGGCCAAGCGGCTGGAGGCCGAGGCACAGGTGCGGGGGCGGCGGTGGCGGCGATACGCGTCCATTCATTAATTCATCACGCATAGTCAGCGAAGGAATGTTGCGGCAAAAGTGTGACCTCATGCGACAGCATTTGCGTTGACTGCTCTTGCTGCCATACACCGGTGTCTCGAGTGATTTGTTTGATCCACGTATCACAGTGGGGAGGGGTGGGGGCAAACATGGGGGCGGCACCATTAATTTTATGGTGGAAATTCTCACTTCCAACTTCAACCGCCAACTGAAATGCGTCCCCGAGTGTCAGAATCAGAATATTTATTTATGCTGGAGGAGGAATCCCATGGAGATATTATAAAGCTCTTTTTCACAGATGTCCAGTAGGGGCAGGGCAGAACGTTACAACAACAAATAATGCAAAAACACTACAGGTAGTCCCCGGCTTACGATGGTCCGACTTACGATATTTCGATCTTACGATGGCGATAGCGATAGCGATATGACAAAATTGTAAAATATTTAACATTTCGCGCGGCAGGCAAACGCAGCAGCGTATGAGGTACGATACTGTACGTTGGGACGCTGCCGGGATGTTCTGTACGCATCTCCCGCCTTGTGTGGTGATGCCTCTCACTCTCACCAGCGGTCGATGGAGTTAAGTTGTCTCAGTGTTCAATGCATGTTAAAAGTTTTTATAGCAGATAAGAATGTTTCCTGAAAAAACTTTCTATGAAATTGCAGTTCATATAGGTAGGCTAAGAATTTACCTTGGTTTTTTTACTTAAAATTTTACTGTGCAATACAGTATTGTAATTAATAAGTACATACAGTATATAGTTTATACAGTACGGTACTGTAAATTGCTCTGTTTTGCTAAATTATCACCATTCTTTAAGACTCCTGGGTAGGTTAGGCAATTTTCGACTTACGATATTTTCGACTTATGATGGGGTCGTCATAACGCATCTCCATCGTAAGTCGGGGACTACCTGTATAGGAGTGCAAATTATATGCAAGGTTAAACAAATGACTTAAAAACATAAACCAATAAAACTAAACCAGTTTTTTTTTATCTTACTAGGTGGGGACAGTCCGCAAGTTGCAATCATTTAGTCAGGTTGACTTTCGCGACCAATATCCATAATAAAAACAATGTTGAGATCGCTTAAATATAAATGTGTTATTAAACCCGCCATGGCCAATTCGTATGGTGTGTCACGTAATCAAAACGTACCGGTTAGTTACTACTTCAGCACACCGGTGTGTTGGAGACTAAACCCACTGCAAATGGGTTTACTCAATTATAAATATTGCTCATTTCAAGACGCGCATATTTACTCTTTTCTATTAAACATTCCATTGTGCTGTTTGTTGCTGGCAATTTGGATAGTTTGGCCTTTGGGCCTGTGCTCAGACACCCGAATAAAAGCAGAGACTGCTGCTCGATTGCGCGATACCTTTGGAGCCTTCCCGTTACAACGACGCTGTCCATGGACCATGGACCATAGATAAATTGCAATCCCCTCTCGTTTAGACAGGCAAATCAATCTTCACAAGTGAAAACATAACTGTAAAACACCGAATGGATTTTATACGTCGTTGTCAATCAACTTATCCTTTCCTTTTGACGATGGTTGTGAAGTTGCGGGACTAGCATCTGGGCAAGGGAATAAATGTTGGACCGGTTTGTTATTTTAACACGTAGGCTTTCGCGACCAATATTATTCATAATAACGTTTTTTGGGTTAGATCGCGTAAGTATAAATGTGTCGAAACCCTCCACCGCCCGACAGCCAATTAAAAAGGGATTAGTCACTTAAACAAATGCCAATTAGTTACTACTTCAGCGTGTTGGAGAGTAAATCCACAACATTCACAATTTGAGTTTGACGTTTCGCTGGTAATTACATCCAGCATCATCGGGCGATTTGCCAGAATAGTGAAGCCATCCACCTGCTTCCGTTCTTAAATAGAGCAGTAGGATAACGTCATCACAGTACCCAATCAGGTGCAGAGATCAAAGGCGGATGGGGGATTATTGTAATTATATAATAGATTAGTGATCAGTGATTTAGTATGTTTCCTCTATAAGGTTAAGTAGCACAAGGCATCTGGGAAACACGTAACCTCGTATTTCCGTGGGAACCGCAAGAGGTCATCATTTGTCCAATGCAGTGCTCTGTAGTCCCATGCCTCTCTGTATTTATGCATATGTCCAGAAGGTGGTGCTCTTGAGCGGATGTTACTCAAACTGACCTGTCAATGTCCAGTCCAAACGTTTACCTCGATAAGCAGTGCGTGGAAGAGTAGGCCAAATACCCGCTAGAGCTCCCACTACTGGAGGCTCCACTGCCAATCCCCACTCTCTTTGCCTTGCCCACACACACTCTTGTACACTGATATTTTCTCAGTATCTATTGCTTTGGTAGTTGTTGCTAAGCTTTTCCTTTTTTTTTGCTTTAGATTTATTTTATGCATTGCTCATCCTTGTGCTACTTTTGGTCTTTGATTTGTAAGTGGTATGACAGACAAACTTCTTTCATTTAGTTAATAGTATTTTCAAGGCGAGGATTATTAGTCGGCAAATGACCGTTAAGATTGAAAAAGGTATAGTTTAGTTGGAGACGTCGCCAATTTGTCAATAAATTGCGGTCGCTGAAATATGGCGAGTTCACATGAAAAGCGAACGGAAGCTTCGGTGCAAATACTGCACGCTTTGAGATGCGCTTTTGCGGCCATCTGGAATGTTCTTTCTGACATTAGTATGCCACTGGAGCTATGCACTTGTAAATCTGGATTGAAAATGTATTTCTAGAGAACTGCTTTTTGTGTTTAGTTGTCCTTCCCCCGCGCTTCTGATTAGCATGGTTGGCTACGTAACAGTGCAAAATAAATTCAACATGCATACACTCACCCACTCACGGTTGGCTACGTACGGTGCGAAAGAAGTTGACAAACATAAATGCATACAGTACATATGAGGGCTCCAATCAATCAATGCCGACGTGATCCACGTGGTGGTCACAACCCCAAGCTGGTGCCGATGTCCCACCTCTCCCGGACGTGAGAACGTCACTTCGAGCAGGTGGCAAAGAGTAAAAAGCGGACGGCGAGAAAAGCCAATCGTGACCCGTGATTTCGAGTCACCGAGGGTCACGACGCGCGCGGTGCTTTCTCTCGCCCGTCGGCTCTCGTCACTCGCGTGTCAATAGTCACCTCGCTTGAGCGATGGCTGGCAGTGGGATAGGCGGGTACGCATGTCACGGCGTAGTTTGTTTTCGTCAAGGAGGGAAAAAAATCCTGGGAAATTGACAGTTTCACCCGCAGTGTGGTTCCCCGCGGGCTTGTTTTTTCGCCAGCTGATTTGTGTCTCTATTTAAAAGAGCCCGTGCCGCATTGTGCGATTAAATCGATGACGACGACAGGAGTCTTTCTGCATTGCACTCGACGCTGTGCTTGTGCCAGATTGCATCGCGGTTAATGGTGGGTGAAGGTGTGTGGAGTTCCACGCGCACTGTGTTGCATGCATATTAACAAGAAATACATAGGGAAATGCGACTATGAGAATGTGTACAGAAGGGAAAAAAGGAGGATTAAATAGTCGAGTGAGTGTGGGGATGGTTTGGATCAATACGTGGAATGACAAAGAGCTTCGTTTAAAAATAATGTAAGTACTTGTAAATGGTGCTCTTGGGCTTGACCATCAAAATCGAATAGGAAGTGGTTTTAGTAGTAAACACATCAACTATAAATTAGCTTTTTGAATGCATTCAGATGGTGTGTAATTACCATGGTGTAATGGTTAGTGCACTGGACTTGCAATTTAAAGGTCGCCCGTTCAGAACGTTTTCAAAACTTCCTCGTAGATTTTCACAGCCAATATTCTTAAACCTCTGTCCGCCCAGAAATATGAATGTGTACACTACAGTTTTGTCGATTCGCAGGTTGCCAGTGTGGAAGAGTAGGCCAATACCATCTAGAGTTCGCAATGGAGGAGCCCCTTTTGTTAGCAGTGGCGTGATCAAGAAATTGCAGGGCTGCACCTTTACCGTAAATTACCCTTCATCATCTTGCTCTATTTAATATCGGAAGCAGGAACACTTTTTCACAATTCTGGCAAATCGCCCGATGAGGCTGGTTGTTATCACCAGTGAAATGTCGTACTCAATTGTAAATGTTTGTGGGTTTACTCGCAATCACACCGACGTCCTGAAGTTATAGCTAATTGGTACGTTTTGTTTACGTGACAGACATTACTAATTGGCTGTGTCGGGTGGTGGTGGGTTAACGACACACATTTATATTCACGTGATCTAACCCAGAAAACCTTTATCATGAATATTGTGAATTGCATGATAACGACTGCTCTTGTCTGCTCTCCAGGGCTTGGACGAGTATGAACAACAAGAGACAGAGGGAGATGGCTCCGACCTCAGCGAGGAGGACACCGAGCCGGAAGATGGCACGAGGGAAGAGGAGGAGAAGGACGACGGAGGACAGGACGAGGCCAGAACAGCCGAAAAAGATGGCGAAGATCTCACGGATGGCTGGGAGACGTGCGATGAAGATGACAGTGATTTCAAGTCAGTGACCGACGGCGAGGAATCGTGGCAGGACCTGGGCATGGAGGAGAGCGCCAGCGCGCCGAGGGCACGTTCGCCCGTCAAGAACTCGAGTCGCTTGCTCCACCAGGACGAGCTGCTGCTCGTCTTCAGGAACTTCCACGTGGGACCAAAAGTGAAGCGAGGGCAGACGACTATCGGACTGGTAGGTGCTGCGCGTTTTTATTGACAACCGAGCGAAAGCTGTTTGGTGGCTGTTACGGCAATTCCACCTCGCATGTCGCTGGTAATGCTTGTCTCTCATTGAGTGGAAAAAAGTTTGTTCGTGCCGACGTTCTTGATCTGGTAAGCAATGACCCCATGAAAATGATTGCTGTGCCATGGACTTGTGTGTAGCGGGGTCCATGGTAAAGTGCAGCAGTGGATGAGAAGTCACGAGTTGGAATTTTCAGAAGTAGCCCTGTGATACCGTCTTATGTGGGTCATTGTTGATCACGGGGTCAAGTGCTACTCTGCGACAGTTCCACGTGAACGGGATGCCGAGAGCAAAATTGGAACAGTATTGAAATTGGGGATAAAAGACAAAAGCATTAACTAAAATGTTTTGTTGCTACATTTGGCATATTACAGCTGTTCATTAAAACTTGTGATTTAATTTTCTTGTGATGAACACTTTTTGCAGGGCGTATATAAAAATGTACACTCCTCAGTGGGGATAGCGGACTTTTGAAGCTCCAGTACTTGAGGAATTATTTATGACAGCCTCTTCCGAGATCATTCATATGCTGCAAGGATGGTCGCTTTGAGGGTTCCAAATGGAAATGTATTTGTCTCATGATAGGACACAGATAGCAGAATTGGTATGATACTTTGGAGAAAAAAATTTAAATAAAAAAATTGAAAAAAAAGGAGGGAAAATTATACACTTTGCAATGTTTAATCTTTTCCAATATAAATTCTACACCTGTTGCTTTCTGGACAATAATAAATATTAAATGAATAATTTAAAAGATTTCAAAGTAGGAAACCAGACTATGACAGATCCACATTTATAGAGAATATAAAAAGTAATTCCAAAATTCATCCCTTCCCGTGCCCTCTTCCCCTCTGTAAAAAGAAATAGTAAAGTATCCGACGGAACATTTTTTTATTCCATTGTATTATATTGAACGGACCGTTTTGGCTGCCAGTCCTCGGCGATGACATTTAGAAGATGGCTACGCTGTCCTCGGCAATTGATGCACGTGACCACTTCCCACATTGATTCATTATCATGCCCCTTCATCCATGGGACAACAATCATTGGTTTATCTACAATATCTGGGGATGCTTTTGTTTCCAGTGAAAGCACACACACACATTCCTGTATAATCCTAGGGAGTGCTGCTGCAGCGGTTAGCGCATCGAACTACGAACCTGAAAATCTGTGTTCAATTCTCACCCCCTTGCTCGTTCGTGGTGAACGGTAATCCTTCACCAACTTACATGGACGAGCATTGTGAAGTAGGGTCCAACTATCCCCGTGATGGACGCAGCATTGGTAGGCTTTCATCCAGCAGTGCATTGAGAAGGTCTTTAAATTATTATTATTATTTATTCTGCTACTTTCTGGGAATTGGACTGAAAGTCACGTGTTCTATACTCACACTGGGCTTGCATTTGCTGGTGGTTGTTATAGGCCGAATCCTGACCTACCACCGACATGTTTAATATTAATTTGCATTCAGCCAACAATTGCCTATCACCGTTACGTCAGCAATTGCATACTGGACTCAACTCTCCTTTTCTGCCTTGATGTCGTTTTGAGGGATTTTGCGATCTCTGGCTTGCGGCTTACAACACACCGAACGGTGCGTAAAGTGGTCAGCCGTTTCTTTAATTGTGCTTGGGTAACGCAGGGTTGTGCTAAACGCTGACGAAAAGGTAAACGTGAAGGGTACAGATGCAGCCCTCTAATTACTGGCAGAAGAGCCTCTACCAGACGGAGCTCAAGATCTGTCCTTCTTGAGAGTATTTGGCCTACTCTTATACGCTGGTTAGACGTCTTGACAGAGGAGTGAATACCTCCACTTTACCCCACGACAATCGACTAACTGGTTCACTCATTTCTAGAGTTGTGCTAGAAGATCAACCTGGAAGCCTATGGATTGCAAGGCCGGTGTGCTCAACATTACGCAGCGGCAACAACCTAAAATTCGTTCTACAAAACTACATTTTGTGCCGCAGTGGTGAGATGTTAACCTCCTTGCCTGGTATACAGGAGCAAGTGGGTTCGATCCTGACGCTGACGCCGATATATTTGGAGTTTGCATGTTCTCCCCATGGTCGCTTGTATTTTTCTCCGAGTATTCCTGTTTTTCCCTCCATATTTAGAAACGTGCGTTTAGAGTATTTGGCTGCAATACATTTCCACATGATAAGCCACTTTGCTGTTGGGCTATCATTTGTGACCAGGTCGCTTCTTTAAAAAAAGAGCTATATAGCTCAGCGGGCCTTAACTGGTAAAATATAAATAGTTTTAGTAAAAAAAATTCAAGATAAAATTTGCATTTAAATTCCTGTTTGCATCGCGTTCCTTGTGCATTGTGTGCTGGCGCTGTGAGTGGCAGTCGCTACCCAGAGTAGATGCTACCTGTCACAGTGATTTGCCACCGCACTTCATTATAGGTGGCATTTGTCAAGCACCACGCGTGCGTGGAATTTCATTTAAAATGTCAATTGGCTGGGCATTGGGGTGCCACGTCTGTAATCTGGGGTTGGTGGCTCAGGACTGCTTCATCCTACACTGCTGGGTGGATACGAGGTGCCCAGCAGGGTGCAGTAAAGAAAGTATTTTGCAAATGTATTTTTTTGTATCGTGGGTTTTATTTAATCTCCTCTTGGTTTGCTTTCGCGCATTTAAATGCTCGCTAAGGATTTTGGTGAAACGTCTGTTCGAGTCGGTCAGGTTTTTCTGTGTAAATTGAATTGTTATTGTGAGGGGTTTAGCAGATGCATTACATCCCATATATGGCTCATGGTAGAGAGAGAACCTTTGCTTGTAAGATCGGCAGTTCACCATCATTGGTTCAAGCAAGTGTGGCCCTGCTGATGAGACGCTGTATGTCGATACCGGTCCTGAGTTTGCTTGTCTTGAAACCAGTGCTGCTGAAATGATGCACTCCCAGAAGGCAGTGCTGTTATGTAAGAAATACTTTTATTTTTTACGTAAAGAGATGAATATATGGAAGAGACATTGCATATCTATTTAATTGTATGACAGGATCTTGAGATATGGTGGCATCTTGAGGGAGGCTTTCATTCAGCAGTGGATTGACCATGGCTGACAATGATGATGAAGATTAATGATGCATTGATTCTTAAATGTTGTAGGTGAAGAGTTGACCCCACAGCTGCTAGAGGTCACTACATTCACCCCGATGTTATACAATAAAATATTAAAATACAAAATCAAATTGCAAACCTGAATGGCAACAATTCTGATGAGGGGAGGGGTGGGTGGGTGGGTGAATCATTCCACCCGTAATAATTATAGTCATAATGACACAATTCTATAATATTGCTCAGAAATAATAGTCGTCGAATACAAAGGCAAACACAATCTCTGCTCAGTGCGGAATTGAATGCGTTTGGGCAGCAAATAGATTTGTTCTCTGTGGTGCCTTTCTGTAGTTTGTATCTTTTGGGTGGAAACAAAAAAATATAGTGTTCACTTGGAAGAATTGAGAACATCACACGGAATCGACAATCGCGCCGCCTCGACCGTACGATGAGACGGGTTTCCGCTACCTCCGCCACTGGCAATGCCGACATGAAACGACGTCTGGAGGAAATAAAAAAAAAAACTTTTTTTTATCGTGCGGCTTTTCTGTTGCCCACATTCAAAGTTTCATTTCGTGAAGTAACGCGAGTTGCATGCTGCGAGGCTGAAATCTATTCGGGAGTAAAAAAAAATCATCACGAGGCACGACGAGTGAATTTCGTGGCGCCTTTGCGCTCGTGTTCCCGCAACACACTGGAAATTGGCTTTTCGTTACAGGAGGAGACAGACAATTATTGGGGACAAAAGGTGTCCATGAGATGGGTCCCATATGCTGCTCTCGTGGTCCGCTCTGGCCCGCGGTTTCCATGGCAGCTGGAGGCCCGCGAACCGTCCACGATGTTGACGGCTGGCGTGTGTTCTTGGGGCGTAACCTCGATCGCTTGCCTGTGACGGGGCTGCACACACATCCAGCCGGGTCGCCCCCCCCCCCGGAAACGATTGTGTGATGTCAACGGGGTCAGCGCAACGTGTCGGTGAACCCGGCGACCTGAGTTCGATCCCCAGCGCCTCCTTTACCAATCCGCACCGATCAGCGTGGTGATGGATGGTCAGACAACCTTCTTACACGGCGTGGGGAGGCCTCCATCCACTAGTGGTTGGGCACACGGTTGTGTTTTATATATATAACACGTTGCAATTATATTTATCAACGATAGACAAGAAGGCAGCGAGTTATAAACCGATTGTTAATGAGAAGCAGAACGGATTTTTGCAAACCCCAATGTCATCTTGAATTTCATAATAAGGTTATGTTTACATTATAGACTTTCAATCCACTGCTTGTTGGAAGATCTCCCCATGATGCGACGTTCATGCGAGTTATTTAACTATGCTTAGCTCCACTGGTCTGGTCAGTACAGGTTGCTGAAGGATTGTCCCGGGAGAAGTTCAGACATCACTCCCCGCTGATTGTAAGCCCGTGGCCGGGAAATCGAACCTGGGTCACTGCACACCGGTGCAGTGCGATGCACAGTGCAGTGTAATTCACCACCGCTCATCACGCCTGTCCACGCGCGCGCGACTTATCCTCGGGTGGGCAACGCGCCGAGCCGGCGTGGCACGGGAACAACAAAGGCCTGGGCCCTGAGATCGCACCAGCTGTGGCGTCTGGTGGCATGTGCCGCGTCATTGATGGAAATGCGACTTGACGCCCTTCCAACCGGACCGTCGCGAAGCAATTACAGTTGAAGCCGTTTCCGCTTGGGCGCTCTGCCGCGTATCGGGAAGTGCGATGGGGCCTGCCGAGCTGGCGATAGTCACCTTGGCAGTAAATCATTGTGGGAGCTGACGGCCGGTTAAACGTGTCACGAGCCACTGAGCGGATGTCACTGCAGTGACTGTTAATTGCACTGGTAATTATTTTTCCCTGGCGTTTTTTTTGA